CGGTTCGGTTTTATTTGTGTTTGCTGTTTGTGTTTGGACTGAAGAATTAAACTGTCTGCGCTGCTCAACCGGACCATCTGTACCGCGCCGTAATGGCAGTCATGCTGCTTTTGTTGCCTTGAGGAATGGTGGCCTGATGGCGCAGTGGCGGCCGCTTTAATTAAATTATCAATTCATGTGAAACCCGGAGCAGGTCAGCCAATCAATCATTGCCAAAGAGGGGTTTGTGTCCTGAGTGAAAATGATGCTGCTGCTATTTATTCTCATTTAAACAATATATGGGATAGAAAACAGAGGAGGACAAAGTTTAAAACAAAAAAGACTTTTAGCTTCATCTCAGAAATTTTCCAGAAACGAACTTGGAAATTTCAAAAGTTTAAAATTTTCATCTTTGGAAACTTTATGAGCTTCAAAAGTTCAAAATATTTGTGACATGTTTTGAAAAATTTTTCTTTGGAATCTTTGAAATTTGAAGAAAAATTTTTAATTTTTCTCAAATTTTCAGAAAATCTCCTAATTTGAGAAAAATCTAGAATTTCTGAGATTTATCTAAAAATTTCTGACCCTAAATTTTGACTTTTGAATGTCAACATTTAATATTTTCAGATGTTTTTTTCTTGTAAGCTTATTTATTATTATTATTGTTTTTTTTTGTTGTTTTTTTGTTTTTTTTTTTACAATTGCAGCTCAGAAATTTCCAAAGATTTCAGATTGATTTCCAAATGTAATGTTTTTACCACTTCTTTTTTGTTACTTTTTATTGGATTGTCCCACTTATGAAATAAATAAAGTTCACGAGTCCCGTTTACAAACTGACGGCAAAAACAAACTCTGACAATTTTCAAAAGTCTAAGATTTTCAACTTTTGGAACTCAAAAATTCCCAAATGTTTTCTAGAGATTTTCTGAGTTTAAATTAAGCTTCTTTTTTTCCGAGCAAATCTTAAATTTTTCAATTTAAAATTTCCAGGTTTAATTCCTTTTTGTGTCTGAAATGTCTTTAAGAAATTTTTGTATTTTCTTCTGAAAATCTCTTCTTTTGTAGTTATTTTTTTGTACTTTGGCTGCTTTTCACTCATTTTCAGCCGTAAAAATGAACATTTCTTTGTTAATCCACCAAACTCTGAACTTTAGACACATAGAGACTGAAACAGTTTAAGGTGACACATTTCTCAGATTTGTTTGTATTTCTCTGAGGCATCTGATAATTTAATGAGCTGTAAATAGTTTTCAGGACTGAAACTCTTCATTTAACCAATTTTCTAATTTTTTAAAATGTCATGCTCTGAAAATATATTTATTATAAAAGAAATAACTAAAAAAAGAATATTTTAATGTTGAATTTAAAGAGGTTTAAAAGTTGCTATCAGACTCAAGTTGTGGAAATGAGTTCATACTGCCATGCTCTGCTGATGGCTGCCGCCAGAGGGCGCCCGCGGGTTTCACCGTAATTAGCAGAGATTGGCAGCCCAATCAGCAGAGCAGATCTGCAGGTGGTGGCGGTCTGGACTCGGCTCGGTTCGGTTCTGCAGCTCTCAGTTAGGTTCAAAGACTCAAAGACGCCCTTCAGAGAGGAGATAAAGCGATGATTAAGCGGCTTGTCGACATTTTGAAAGGTCAACGCAGACCGTGAACAGCAGAGGCGTGTTGGAAACAGCTGCAAAGATAGAAGGTAAGGCGAGATGCGCAACAACGCGCTGGTTTTCTCATGAAAGTTTCCCCCTTTGTTCCTCCCTGTGGCGATTTATTGAAGTGGGCAGACAGACAAGGAGTTGAGTCAGTTCATGAACTTAGTGACCCATGCTGTGGAAAAGGGGAAAAAAGTTTTTATGCAGCGATTCAGCCGCTGGGTGGCGCTTTGTTACTGAATTACTTCACAGCAGATAGTGTGGCAGCAGGGGGCGCCAGAGAGGCGCAAACTGGGAGGTTGAAGGTGATTGATGAAGAAAGCAGCTTAGTTTGCAACAAAGTAGATTTTATTAAAACACAGTCAGTAAAACTAAGTCTGTAAACTCTAAACAGTGAATATCTGGTACATTAATGGTTTAATCAGCAGTTTCTCTGGATGTTTGACCTCAGAGTTAAATCTCATCTCAGTTTCCTTCCAGCTTCTGTGGATTCAGAAAGTCTGATGCAACTTTGGCCCTCAGATGATGATTATTTGTCACATTTTGAATCAGTTTAGTTCTTTAAATGTTGGATTTACCTCTTCTGCATTCCAGCAGGTTCTTCAGAAGTCAGCTAGTGATTTATTTGTTCAGTTAAAGTTTATTGAATTGGAAAAACGCATTTTAAAGAAATTGATCACAGATGTGTTTTAGAAAAAACTTGGACATTTCTGAGCTTTAAAAGATTTAAATCTTGTTTGCATTTATTTCTGGTGATGTAAATAACAATCGCATACAATAATCAGAACTGGCACTTAATTCCTTATGTTCCTTCTGGACGTTTTTAACCCTATAATGGCATTTTAGGGCTAATTTATATTGAAAAACTGATTTACTTATTTTTTAAATGATCTTAGAAATTTTCTAGAAGTGAATGTAAATTTCTCAGTTTCAAAAGTTGAAAATTTCAGAAAATGTTTTAATATAAATTTTCTAGAAAAAAACTTTGAAATGGGTTCTGAGCTGAAGGCTGCTCGGTAAACTCCACCTTCAGGAGCCGCTCTTATTTCCCAGTTTATGGAATAAGTAGCTTTATTATCGTTTTATATGACGTCAGCAAACAAGGTATCTGCCATGTTGGAGGACAAACGGTAGAAACGGCAGATCTGTTTTGGACAAAATGTTTGGATGATTCCAAAGTTTGAGTTTCTAAAACCTGAAGCTGGTTGAGTTAAATCAGTTTTTAGAGTGTTTGCTGGTTTCTACTAGTAAAATATTAATAAACAGAAACTTTATTTCAGACTCAAAGTCCAACTAAAAAGAAAAAAAGGATGAAATAATAAATGAATTAATAAACATGAAAACAAGTGGTTATATCTATAATTTTAGTATGTTTTAGTTTTATAAATGGACAATATAGGTCCAGTCGTATCTTTACTGTTAACGGAAATGTTTTTTGAAGTTTTTGTTGTTTTTGCTAGTTCTGGCTAACGGTAATAGCCTTGGTGGTCAGATGTCTGAGAGTTTTTCCAGTCGGAGACGATGAGGCACGCTGGAGGAAAACCATGCGGTTCCAGAAATCGGGCTGAATTCAAGGAGAAAACGGTCCAGATGACTCAGTGCGTCTGAATGTGGGCAGTTTGTCACGAGAGTTTCCTCAGATTCCCACTGGAGAGTCACTTCCTGTCATCGGATCAGACGGTTCTGGCCGTTTGTTTGCGTCTCGCACTCTGATATCTGACCTGCCCTGTTTTCTCCTCATTTGCATTGGAAACTAAAGACACAAAGCAACATTTGTTTGATGTTAATCTGCGTTCTGGATTTCTGGATGACTCACATCCACTATCAGTTTTCTAGAAAGTTGTCTCTGTGACAGAGACGGAGCGACTGACTGGTCATAAATGTAAATTGTTTCTTGCGAACTGAGTTGAGTTGTGAATCTTTAACTTGGAATCTGGATGAGTGCAGGATGGGCCGAACTGAAACATTCGTTGGTTCTGCAGAGCTCGTTCCTCTGGTTTTAAACATGATTGAAGTTGATCTGAAAACGTTTTACTTTCCTTTCGAGGCTGAAAGTCATTTGCATCCAAACTCCCCTTTTTCTTGGAAAAGATGAAAGTCACCGAGAAACCAATGGGTTTGTCTGGTTTTAGTTTTTCCTGCTTTCATTATTTACCATGAAGAGAAGGTGACAGAGAGGAAGAGGATCCACAGCCAACATGGACGTCTGCAGAGTCGGTCAGGTTGATTCTTTGGTTCGGAATAAGAACCGCGTCTCTGCTGATGACCAATCCTTAGATTTACTGTTCCGGACCAAAGTGAAGCAGTTGTTCTTACAGTGGTGGAATAAATCCTGAAATCCTCCACTGATTATTTTCAGTGAACTTTTCAATGTGGATGGAACAAGTTCAGAGAGGGAGCAGCAGGGATCTCTTCTAAAACTGTAACACTAAGTGAACACTAATATGTAGGTCGCATCGATTTATCGGCCCAATTTCCTTCATTTAGGAGGAGATTATTGTTAAATGTGAAGTTGATCTTATCTCCCTCTGCAAATGTCTTAAAATCAGCTACTGTCCTCTTCTGCTCTGCACTGGCAGGTTTGACTGTTGGCCCCGCCCACCAGGTCATGTCTGCATCTTTGCAGCCAATAGTTGCCTCACTGTTACAAACTTGGTGACTTTCTTGCTATATTTGTCAACATTTCTGACAAAAACAATCGGTATCGGATTTGGCAGCTCAGGCTTTTTACAGATGCCTGAATGTGCGACACAAACAAACTGAAAAATAAACTCGATCTAAAGATGGCAGATGTTTTTCTTGAGAAGCTCCCTCTGGCGGCCTGCCTGGAGCTGGCAGTGGAAAGGTCTTGGTGTGGGCAGGAGCAGCTCCTAACTGGGCCGTGTTACTGGGAGGCCGACCGGCACCGGGCCGGGATACTCCCCATGCCCAAACTGGGCCGCCGTCTGGCCTCATGCGCACTCTTTTCCATGGTGAGGAGGTAAATAAAAACGTCTGTTTCTCCCTGCATCCCAACCTGATTGGACTGTGTCTCCATTAACTCCACCCCAGAGAAATAAATATAAGAGCGGGGTCAGTTTGTATCAGATGTTTTAGGCTTTCAGGGTGAATTATGGGATTTATTTAGCTGTTTTTAAGGATTATTTTCCTTCAGGTTTGGACTTCAGCTTATTTTCCTCCCAGATTTGAGCTCTAACTGGTTGATTAGAGCCAGTTAGAGCTCTAATCAGTGAAGTTTCTCCTCTGAAAAAGCTCTTTTCTTTTTTCCCATTTTTTTTTTTTTTTTTTTTGTTGCAGGATTTTTCAGTTTTTCCTGAAAACCCTGATAAGGATCGTTTCTGCACATTTCCCTCTCCCTCCAGCTGCTCGGTTTCAGTGTTGCCGTATTTTATTGACAGACCGCTCGGTCCGGCCGCTGAGGTCAGCCTGAGCAAAATGAGAAGGGAAGTGGTAGGAGGGAGACGGAGCCGGCGCCTGGCTCCTCCTCGTGGCCTCCCCTCCCCCGCCTCCTCTCCTGCTCCAGCAGTAGGTAGAGGCGCTGTGGCGAAGGCAGGCAGGCAGTTCAGGGCTCGAGCCGAAGCCGCACGCACACACACCCACCAGAGCAGGACCGCGTCCTTCAGCCGATCCTTCAGCCGATCCTTCCCTCACCGCAGCAGAACAACTTCCACAAGCCTTCCCTGTTTTTCCCCTCCGCAGTCTGCAGGAGGACTTTCTCACCGCTACGGTAAGATCCTCACGTGTTTCTGTGACTCGCTGTTCAGACGGGTTTCGTTTGGACTCGGTTATTCCTGAGAGCCTCGACGCATGAGGTCGCTCTGTGGGCGTGTTCGGGCGTTCCACCCACATGGCGTTTAGGAGTGACAGCGGTGATGGGATGCATGGAGAAGTTTGGCGTTCCCGCCCACTTTCCTCTCTGGAGAATCAAACATTCACCAAATCGTGAATGGTCCTGCATGATTACTGGTGGAGATAACGGCTGATAAAAAACACTTTATTACGTCTTATTGGCAAATCTCTGCAGAGTCGGAGCCTCAAAGGCTTCACTTGTTTTAGTTTCTGTTTATGCTCTGGTTCAATGGTGAACTGGACCGTCGGAGATGGGAAGAAAAATGAGTAGATTCATGCAAAAAAACTCTGGAATTTTGATATCAGGAAATTTCTAGGAAAAATCAGAAAATTTCTGAGTTTTAAAAGTTGAAAGTTTGCTAGAAAAAAAATATGAATTTTTGAAATTAACCTCATAAATCTTCTAGAAAAAAGCATTTTTTGTTCCCCACAAAAAACAATTTGATTTTTTTGTTTATCTTGCTCTGCAATGAGATGTTTTTTTTTTAAGTTTTTTTTTTTTTTTTAAATAAAACATTTCCAAAAGTAGAAAATGTTTTGCATTTGGAAATTCAAACTGTTTTTTGTGTTTTGGAAAACATTTGAGATTTAAATTTTTCTATTTTTATTTTTTTAACTTTTCGAAATTAGAAATTTCTTTGTTTTTCTAAATAAACTACAAATAATATGAACCTACTTGCAATTTGAGTGTTTTTTGGCATAAATCTACTTTCTTCTTCTGACTGAAGTGACACTGATGCGTTTTTGGAGTTTCTGTCGAGTGCAGAGAATTTCTCCAACACTGTTTAGACATTCAGATACATGTTGAGTCAGTTTCTCCAACTCCAGCCCGTTCTGAGTCCTGCTGCCCTTTTCTGGGCATCCTGCCGCTCTGTTTATCACATGACTCAGCGCTCGGATTGTTTTATATCTGGAGATGTTGCAACAAGTTTTGTGCAAAGAAAACGTTTGAGCAGAACGTTTTCTCCGGAGAGATGGAGGAATTAGCAACTTTATCTTTCATTCAAAACTCTGGAAAGGAAAAGAAGGAGCGATCCAACTTTCACTGCAGAAACACAAAATCTGTGGTTAGTGTTGTCTCATTTTATTTGCATTAAGATATTTACACTAAAATACCGCACAGTGTGTAATTATATCCAGGCAAAACTCACCAGTTTCACCTTCATTTGATGAGTTTATTTGATAAGAACAATGCATACAGAACAGAAATGAGTGAGTAAACGGTGTTTATCTAATCACAGCTTCAGTCCCTGGTTAAACATTTCTAAACCGTTTATATAAATCTCCTCAAATATTCAGTTCAAACACTAAAGATTTCTCTTGTCTTTGGTAACAGTAAAATAAAATGCACAACATTATTAATAGTTAAAATACATACAAAACGTGGCAGAATTATTCATGAAACACCATATGTGATTAAATTAGTCTAAAATGTTTAAAATATATTTTAATGCAGAACTGATTCTCAACAGAAAAAGGGGCGGGGCTGATGGTTGCTATAGTAACTTGATGCACCAGTAAAGGTCTGGAGAAACAACTTTTTGATTGAAATAAATTCAAAGCGTGATTGAAGAGATTTTGACGTGATGTTAAAATAAAACCTTGTTTCATATGAGTTCACTTCAACCGGACCCAGACCAGAACTCGCCTTTGATTGACGTCAAACTGGACTTTCCATGCAAACGGACTGGAGTTTGATTAAAGCAGTTCAAACGGAGCCGGTGTGAACTCCCTGTTAGACAATCCAGTTCTGACGATCCTCACATTAACTCTTCCTCTCCTTCCCCAGAGCCGCTGACAATCACTCGCCATGGAAACCCCAAGCCAGAAACGCCGCAGCGCCGTCTCCCCGACCCGCATCACCCGGCTGCAGGAGAAGGAGGAGCTGTGCAACCTCAACGACCGGCTGGCGGTCTACATCGACAAGGTGCGCTCCCTGGAGTCTGAGAACGCCTCGCTGCGGCTGCGCATCTCCGAGTCGGAGTCAGAGGTCACACGCGACCTGTCCGGCATCAAGACTGCGTACGAGACGGAGCTGGCCGACGCCCGCAAGACACTGGACATGGTGGCCAAGGAGCGGGCGCGGCTGCAGCTGGAGCTGAGCAAGATCCGGGAGGAGCACAAGGAGCTGAAAGCCAGGTAGGAGCGGCGGCTTCCAGACTTCAACCAATTCATCACAGGATTAACAAACTGAGAGCAATCATTTCCATCTGCATGCTGCTTTTTGAGGATGCTGCCCTTTAAAGTTATCGAAACGCTACCATTTGAAAAAACAACAAAAAACATTTGGCACACAGAACAAAATAGTTTGATTTCAGTTTTTTTATTCTGTTTGAACAAGAATCTGTTTTGTTTATATATTTTGTATATTTAAAATGTCTTCCAGTTCCAATATTAGATCTTCGGAAATTAAAATGTATTTATCTTTCAGAAGATGCATTGTGATATTAGTTGCAAAATGCAGTTACAACATTGTCGTTTATCACAATAACTTCAGTGACAGTTTATCATCCAGTAAAATGTGTTGTGACAAGCCCAGCAGGCTCCCAGTCCGACACCAGTCACTGATTATGCAACTCCAGATTGAGTTTAACTGACTGTAACGCCGCGGTTCTGCGCCGCGCTGCAGGGGGAGCCGAGAATCTTTGTTTCTTAAATATTTGCTTTGTGATGCTGCACAAAGTGGTTAATTGATAAAAATGGTGTTTAGGGCGACTGTTTCTGATTTCATCGTGTTGTTTAGCGTTTCTTTCCATCTGTTGCTCATCAGCAAACGCTGCCCATCCCTCTGACGCTCGTTTCATGTTTCAGCTTCTGATTTTTTCTGTTGAATCTGAATCTTTGTTTTTATAAAAACATGTCTTTGTTTCAAAAAATATTGTACACACAAGATTTCAGAAAAGTTTTCATCCACATGAACAAATCTGCCCTGGAGGTTTGTTTGAAACATGCCGAACCTATAGGGGGCAGTGTAGCGCAAAGCTAAAACTTGTCAGCTGTGAATCATGCCACTTTCCTGGGACTCTGGGTAAAAGCGTTCCAGTTCAGAAGTTAGGATTTTGAAACGCTGGCGCCCATAAACCGTATCCTGCAAACATAACTTCAAGCTCTGCTTTGCATAAACAAATTAAAGCTACATTTAATTTCTCTCGTTTAAAGTTATGGGTTCTTCGTGTAGCATTGAGTTTTAGAAGAACTCTTACACGCGTTTCATAAAATAAACATTATTCTTGCAGTAAACCTTTTTCCACCGTTTACTGATGGAAACAATATGTTTCCATTTCCCCAGATATCCGGCTATGTGTGGATTAACTTGGACAATGTGGCTGAATGCAGATCACGATATATTGCTATATATTCATATCAGTTTATTGATTAGTTTTTTTATTTAAAATTCTGCCAAACTGGTGGCATGACCTTTGCTGTTTTATCCACAAACTACTGCAGTGCAACTCAACAGCTTGTTACCTTATGTAACCAAACAGTGGTAAGTTTGCTAGCTGGTCATGAGACGTTGAGCAGCTGCAGCCTTTGACTTCATCTCCCAGAACTCTGTGTGGTTCTGGATCAGAATTCATTGAATATGGATCGTTTCCACCAGTCTGAACCGGAAGTGGTCGGCCTACCAAGATGGCGGTCAAGTACACCAGTATGTCCCAACCCTGATCCTCAAGGCACGTTGCCCTGCATGTTTTCCTTGCTTCTGGTTTCAATTGATGACTGATTAACAGGCATTTGTTGAACTGCAATCAGTTGAATGAAGCACATTAAAGCAGGGAAACCTCTAAAACATGCAGGATGGAAACGCTGAGCTGCACAGTCACATGAGAGCTATGCATCCATGCTGATTATCGTGACAAGTTGTTTATCAGCCAGATTCAGTCTGAGTGTTTCTCTGGAACTTTGGGTCCAGATCTGCATGAATAAATCTGATGGTTGCATTTTCACAGTGAGGCTCTTTCTGCCTGCGGCTCACACCCAGTGCTCTGAACTCATACAGTGGTGCAACAGCATACCTCTGGAGCAGGAATGCTGCAGGGAGCCAGACCTGATACAGGCTTTCCGGGTGACATTCCCCCTTGCTGAGTGTGACTGAATCGTTGCTAACTCGCCTCAGGCCTGGGCTGTGAAGAGGGACAAACCTCTTCACACAATGCTCCACCTTTCCCTCTCCAACTGCCTTGTTGAGGCTCAGTTCCTGTCGTCATGCAGGGATAAATGCAGCTTTTAAATCAAGCTTTTAGTTTCAGCTTGGTATTAAAATGTTGCCTTTTTTCCCATCAGAGTGGTTCTGGTTCTGATTTAGGCCCAGTGTCTGAAACATTCCAGCAGCCAGATTTTTCCCTCCAGCGTGGAAAAACTGCTGCTGCAGAAAAACAAAAGTCTCTTGTTCTCTTCAGGGCCTCAAACACTGTAGAGTTAAGAAATGAACATAAATCACAAAATAAGACTTTATAATAATGAAACGATGCTGTTTGTGCTACAGCTGCTGCATGGTTATTGTAGTTTAGCCAGTAATTATTATGGGATGGCTCGAAGCTTTATGATCATGTTGCCTTGTAGTATCATAATATAAATGTTTCTCCAGGTCAGGACAAAATAAACGAACCTCAGTTTGGCACTGCTAAGCTAGCTGCTCCATTACAGAAACACTTCCTGCTGAAGATATCAAAATAAAAGCACTTCCTGTCTCATTCAGACATTATTTTACATTTTTTCTCCACTTTATCTCATTCATTCTGTTAAATAAAAAAAATTCAATGAAGAAAAGAACAAAGGGTTTAAAATGTTTCCCAAAATTAAAATGTTTCCAGTTCAGAAGAAGAAAACTGTCCAATAATCAGTGAGATTATGAAGACTGGGATTAACAGACGTTAATTCAGACATCATCTAAATAAACAGTTTTTAATCTCATGTTTCTTAGAGCATAAATACTTTTTTATAAATTAAAAGCGAGTTAATGAATATTAAGAGGTAATTATTCCATGTTCTTGTTGTAATTTTGACCTGAAAATAACCAGTAATTGTGAATAAATGTTTTGTTTAATGCTTCTTGATTTTTATCTCCTGCTCTATCAGGAGCGTTATCGTCCTGATAAAAATGTGTAGGTTTTTTTTCCCTGTTATTTTTATTTAATTTTTTTTTCAAAAAAGTTTTCAGGTTTTTTTTCCAGAATTTCCATGTTTGTTTTTTTTTGTTTTTTGAAGAATATTTCTGAGACAAATAGTTAAATATTTGAGGTCTTTGGTGGAGAAGTACTCTGTTTCTGCCTGATTGCCGAGATATTAGCTGCTGCTGACTGATTAATCTCAGCGTTCAGCCTCCGTCTTGTGATTCTGCTCCTCGGCGCTGATGCTGTTTTCCAGAGGAAGCAGATCTTCTGACGCCTGTGTGGTGAAACTCCTCCCTCCTCTCTGCTGCTTTTAGCCGGCCTGTTTGGTGTTTGGTTGCCATGGTGGCGTGACGCGGCGGTGACTCACAGGTTTTTTCGATGCCTGTGGAGTGGGCCGAGTGACTCCTGCTCGCCCCCGTCCTCGTTTCCCTCTGAATGCGACGCAACAGGTGAAGCGTTGAGTCCGGTCCAGCTGAAGGGACACACCTGTTCAGCCTGAAGGCTGCGCTCACACCCACAGCTTTGTTCAGCTAACTGTAGCACATGTCGCTTTCCTGCAGGGAGAACCTCAAGCTGTCTGCTCGGAATGCCAGACATTCCCCTGCAGCTCCGGCTGCTTTCAGAAATGATTTAAAAACAGTTGGAAAGTGAAATATGCAGAAGCAGGTAGAGGGTGGAGCTCCTTCTGCTGGGTTCAGCTGAGCAACGTCTCAGAAAACCTCTGAAACATTTAGCCCTGAGCCGTTTGCTAATTTGTGGCTGAAAAAAATTATTGATCTCATTAGACTCTTTGTCTGCTCTGGGGAAGGTTTCCTCACCTCAATATGCTGACTGCTTGAAGTTGCTCCTGTTTTCTGATTGATTGATGTTGATGGACTGTTAAAGTTTGTCATGTTGTTTTATTTTCTCATGATAACCTGATTCTTTTTAGAGACAGAGTCCCAATATACGGATATTTGATATGTAGCAGTTTATAACAACTGAAGGCAACAGTTTGCTAATTGGTGCTGGCTAGTCTGCAGGAGCAGATTGGAGCGTTGCAGAAACTTGATCTGCTTCTTGAAGGCAGGGGGGGCTCAGTCCACCCAGGTGTTACCATGAATGGTTACGCCTGCCGTTAAAGGCGAGGCGACGTTCCAGGTATGTTTGATGAGGGAATAACGTAAAACAAGGTAAAGCCAAAAAAAAAGTCAATTTTACATGAACGCTGCCTCTTCAAAGTCATCTGAAAGCAACGCGGATTCGGCCGGTTTGTCTTTTTCTCGTTCATCCAAACAGGAAAACATACAGAGGAAGTTTTCAACGCATTTTTTAACCATTTCCCCCAAACAAGTGCTGACTTGTTCACCTGTCGTCTCTGCTGTAGAACATCTGAGCTGCGGTTCTGACAGACGGGTCTGTCTGATAGTGATCTTCAGGTAAACAGACGAACCCTTTTCCTGTCCAGACACAAAGCGCAGCGCCGCCCCACCTGTTGAGGTTCAGGGCGTGGTCCAGGCAGGACGAGCTTCTGCTAAGACTTTTATTTTCTTTTGGGAAACCGTCTCTGGATCTGGATTAAAAAAGCTCTAACATGGTCGAACATGTTTCTCTGCAGACTGAAGGTTGTTAACGAGGCAAAGATGGCTCGTATGTTGCTGTGGTAACAGTCATAACCATGAAGGAAGTAGATTTATCATGCAGCACATCCCTGCTTCCTGTGCTGGGAATGTTTCACCACTCAGTCCGGACTGTAGCTGAGTTTTAAGTCTGTACAGCTTATGGTGAATTATTGCTGTGTATTGTTCCACTGTGGGACATTCAGATATTCTATAAATAACTGGAAATTCCCTGGACTTTGTGCAACAGGTCTTGTATTTTTGTTTGCTGCAGGTTAAAGGCGACACCCGAGCAACACAGATGCTGTGAGAAAAAAATGGGTTCATAGCTAATAATAAACTGACCGTTCTGTAGAGGAAGCGGAGTCGTCATCAGACGCAGCGTAACATTTATCCCAGCGAGTCAAGTTTCTAAATTTAACGTCAG